TTTCACTCAGCATAATGTCCTCCAGGGTCACCTATTTTGAATAATATTGCATGAGTTCTTTGTTTTTCAATGCAGCGTAATATTCCATTGTGTGACTATACCACAGCTTCTCTATCTATTCATTTGTTGATGGGCACTTAGGTTGTTTCCAACTCCTTGCTATTGTGAACAAAGCCAAGATAAACACGGGTGTGGTCAAAACAGGATTTATACTATTCACAACATTCATTTCCATTTTCTGGAAAAGCAAGGTACACCTGTATCTCCAACTCTTTTGAGACTCACAGCTCTAGACCTCAAAGAAAGAATTAACAACATGAGTGTGGGTATCTGAAATCTCTGCCCTAGGCAAATTACTTATTAAACAGTAAAATAGAGTTTGTACCACTGTCATAGGAGAACTAATTCGTATCACTGAGAACATCCATTTTCCAAACTTCAAATTATCAATGGGAGTGCAAATGGAAAAGCAGGCCTCTGAGGATTGGTGTACAGGTGCCATGCCCATGCCCCAGCCCAGCCATTATTAGACATCATAATCTAGGACATTGTTGTTGTTGTATACCAGAGTCAGAACTGACCCATAGCTGACCCTCTAGCAGGTTTTCAGAGGCAGTTAATCACATGGGAGGAGATTGTCCATCCTTTCTCCCGAGGATCAGCTGGTGGCCTCCAACCGCATGCCTTTGGGATTTCAGCACAGCTTCTTGACACTCTGCCACCAGAGCTCTAGGATCTATGACATTAATCTATTTTAATTAATATTATAATCCACCCCATGCTCTGCTGGAGAAGGAGGGGCAATTCTCCTGTGCCAGGTGGATCCAAGTTGATGATACACAACAAGGAAAAAAGAAGAAGAAAAGGCGTGTTCCTTTGCATTGGTGTGGGTGTAAGCGGCTTAGGAGTAAGGTTAGTGGCATTCAAAATGGTCCAGCCTCTAACCTACCTTCTAACAACACGAGGCTGTCCCGAACCACTGGTAACAGAATTGTTTACCTTTATACCAAGAAGGTTGGAAAAGCACCAGAATCTGCTTGTGGTGTGTGCCCAGGCCGACTATGAGGGGTTCGTGCTGTGAGACCTAAAATTCTCATGAGGTTGTTAAAAAAACAACCAAAAAAAAAACCCCCAAACCTGTCAGCAGAGCTGATGTGGCTCCATGTGTGCTAAGTGTGTCCGTGACGGGATCACGTGTGTTTTCTTATTGAGGAGCATAAAATTTTTGTGAAAGTACTGAAGACACAAGCTCCAAAAAGCTAAATAAAAAATGGCACATTTCTAATAAAATTTTTAAAAAAAGAAATCAAGAAATGTTGTTTAGGGAGCTCTGGTGGCCTAGTGGAAAGAAGCTGCACTGCAATCCCGAAGGTGCATGGTTTGAATCCACCAGATGCTCCAATGGAAAAGGAGGAGCAGTCTTCTCTTGTGCCAGTCCAATCCAATTTATGGTACACAACAAGAAAAGAAAAATTAATGTTCTAAAGCAAAATGCTTACGAACAACTGAATGAAAACCCAAGGTGATTTGTAAACTATCACTCAAATTTTAAAAAGTTAATAGAAATAATTTTCTACCCAAAACCGTATAGGAGAGAGACAATAGACAATAAAAGATTGTTTAGACAACGTAATTAATTCATTATGTCAGTCAGTTGTAGTTAATATTAAAAACAAAATGTCAGTGAATGATTGAAAAACTAATATGATTTCTAAATTTCAACTAAAATTAAAATTTTTCCCCCTATGTCCTTATGAGACAGTTTTGCTCTTTCGTGCAAACTTCTTTTTGTTACAGAGAGCTCTTGTAGCTTAGTGGTAAGGAGTTGCACTGCCATCCGTAAGGCACGTGGTTCAGACCCACCAGTGGCTACGCAGAAGAAAGATGGACAGTCTCCTCCCATGCAATTAACCGCCTCTCAGAACCTGCTGGAGGGTCAGCCAGCAGTTGGTTCTGGCTCGACGACACACAGCAACAGTAGTCTTTACAGAGTGCCTAGTGAGTTTAAAATGTTGGCCTTTTGCAGCTGAGCACTTAACCACTGTTCCACCAGGCCACAAAGCCTACAATATTTGTCACTTAGTCTTTTATAGGAAAATTTTCAAGATCCCTGTAGTACAGCACAATATGGATTACATCTAAACATTTAAAAAAAAAATCCTCCCCACCAGACCAATAAGCAGCATCAGGATAGATGGAAAAAAGATTTGAAGGTGTAAGGATTTCATCTCACTTGGATCCATAATCTACACCCGTGGTACCACAATCAAGAAATCAAGACTGTTTGCATTGAGGGAAACCTGCTGTCAGGGACCTCTCCAGAGTTCTAAAGAGGAGTGATGTCAGTTTAAAGCAAAGGTGTGCCTGATCCACACCAGTCTTCTCACTTACTTGTTATGCATCTGAATGTTGAACAGTGACTAAGGAGAAAGAATCAGTGTCTGAGTTGTGGTGTTGGAGAATAGTACTGAATATTCCATGGACTGCCAAGAGAACAAACAGGTATGCCTTAGAGAAATTCCAATGGAAGTGCTCCTTAAAGGCAAGGAGGGCAAAACTTCATCACACATACTTTGGGCATGTTGTTTAGAGGGGCCAGTCCTTGGAGAAGGACATCATGCTTGGAAAGGTGGAAGGTCACCGGAAGAGAGGAAGAACCTCAACAAGATGGATTGACACAGGGGCTGTAACAGTGAGCTCAAGTACGTTGCAGATGATGAGATTGGTTCAAAATAGGGCAGGGTTCAGCCGCATTCTTATTTGTTTGCAGTCAGCTCAGTGGCACCTAACAACAGTATATCACAGCACAAGGAGGACAAGTCTTGAAATGCTTAGATTTGTGATAATGATCTCAGGTTCTAGATAAAGCTGCCTTTTAGCCACATGATCAGTCACATGATAGTCCATTTTTAAAGCCCTGTAGTTCCCCACACCAACCAGTGAATTTATACTCACATGGGCAGTATTTTTTTTTCTGCCCCAAACCAGCAAATTAAATTTGCTTGTTGTTTTAATCATGTTGATAAAATTTGGTTGTCACCTCTTTAAATGAGAGATAAGTCATATAACTTTAATAAAGCAGACAAGGTAACTTTCTATCATCTGTTGTTTCACAAATGCTAAAAATGTCTCCTCAGCAGGGTTGAAGGATCCAAGAGTTGTGGTTCATTTCTTTTCCCTACCAGTTCCCTCTGTCCCTCCAGGCTTCTAACTTGACTGGTATCAAGGACTGGCTTACTTGAGGTTGCTGTCATATCTGGAGCAGCACATGGGACATGTGACAGCAGCAACTCACGGGTGTCACGAATACAGACTTGTACAAGTATATTTCCTGCAGTAAGTTCCCCAACCATTCTTAAAACTGCAGGCTTGCTGCACATGACCTTGGGAGTTGGGTCCTTTACTCATATAGTTTCCATGTCCACAGATATGTAGTCCTGACCACAAAGCATCATGAAGGCTTCACAAACTGGCCAAGTCCTGTGTCTTGGAACTGGAACTCTGAGGACGTGGGACCCCATCGTGATTTGGTTGGGGAACTGGGAACAGCTCTCCAGAGCAGGTATGTTTCTGGAGATAGTTCATTTCCTCATCCCTTTTTTTTTTCTTTAATCTGGTCATCCAGTGTTCTATGCCATCTTTACTCTGGGGTATTTTCTGGATTGCTTGTAATAGATGATTGCAATAACTTGAAGTCCTTCTGGCCTTTGGATTAGCAGTGTTTGAAACTTGTGGTTTTCACATGACCAAGAATGATGCACTTCATGCCTCTTAGGTAATGGATGCCCAGCACAAGTTATGAGTTCAATCTGTTGTCAGCACAGGAGTCCCTCTGGGACACTCCCAATCTCAGGCCTTTCCAGCTTGGGTCCTAGATCTGATGGAGACCTTAGCAGTCAGCATAGAGTTTTGTAGACTTCGAGGGAAAGTCTGAGTAAATGGTAAATCAAGTATGAGATTGAAAAGCAGCAAAAAATGAGGTAAAGAGGTACGTGGAAATAGTTGCCATTTAATAGGAAGTAACTTCCTGAGATCAGAGGTAGGAAACAGCAGAGCTGGATGGAATTTGAACGCAGGTATTCTGGTGACCCTGCAGTCCAAAAAGGAAAAGTGGGGCCTGGGCCACTCCCAACCTCAGCTCTGGTGATTGGGTAAAATTGTTGTCCCATTACAGGGACAGGTCAGCTGTCTGTGTGAGTAGAGTTTCATTGGGCACAGGCACACTCATTAGTTTATGCTTTGTTTATGGCCACTTTCAAGCTGCAATTTACTGCAGTTTCAGAATTAGTTGATAGAGAACCTAATAGGCCAGAGTCTTAAATATTTCTACTTTTTTGCTCTGTTTATGCCTTTGCAGTGTTACCACAACATTACTTCCATTAACCCAAACCACTGCTATCAAGTTAATTCTGACACATAGTGACCTTCCATCAAATTTCGAAGGATGTAAATCTTTTCAAGGGGAAGCTGTCTTTCTCCTGCAGAACGCCTGGTGGATTCAAACTGCTGACATTTTGGAGGACCCCAATACATCATGCACTAAGCCGGTTTTGAGACAGTTGTCTTAAAAAATGGTTTAAATGATATCTTGATATTGAAATATTTATGTATAAAGACTGCTTGAGTATATTATAAAAAACAGAGAAACTAAATCTTTTTCCCTTAAGTGAATGATGATGATATAAGTTGAGAAAATTCTTTGAATCCCAACCTGCCTTCGTGCTGCTCTTGGGAGTGTCTTTAAGAAATAGAAATGCTGAAACTTTATTTTTTTTTAACTTAATGACTTTTTTTGTTTGTTTTTCTGTTTAAGGGACATACGTTATGGACTTTATCATTCGCTCTTAGAATGGTTCCATCCACTCTATCTACTTGATAAGAAAAATGGTTTCAAGACACAGTATTTTGTGAATTCAAAAACAATGCCAGAGCTATATGATCTCGTTAATAGGTAAGAAACATGTTTTTGGCAGGCCAATCATCAGTGAATTCAGAGCCTCCATGGTGGTGTTGTAAGATATTGTTGACTTTGTTCTGACAAGTAGTTAACACTCTGTCCAGCAGAATAAAGCATTTCCCAGTCCTGGGCGGTTCCTGTAATTGTTGTGAGGTTTGAGCCCATTGTCACAGCCATTTTGTCAATCTGTCTGAAGATTTCCTGGTTTTTGTTGACTTTCTGCATCTTTACAGAAGCAGACTGCCATTTCTCAGTTGCTGCTTCTTGCTGTCCTGTGCTATCTTTAGTTTCACACCACTTGTTCTGTGTGTGTGTGTGTGTGTGTGTGTGTGTGTGTGTGTATCTGTCTCTCTATCTATTAAATCTAGGTGGTTCTTAGCACAGGAACCCCGAGTCCAATGGACAAACTTAGCCTTTGTCTCTTCTTAGCAGTAGTGAGGTCCTACTTGTCTTTGGAATGTTTCATTTGAAACTTAATGAGACAGCAAAACTAACCAGTCCCCTCACTAGGATTCCATACACCTTACTTGTATGTGCATTAGTTTTATTATTAGCAACTTATGCAGTTGCCTTGGTGGGTCACATATGCTTCATTTGCATTGCATAATTCTACTCATTTATTTATGTGCATTTGACTGTGTGGATCATAACAAATTATGGCTAACATTGAGAAGAATGGGAATCCTAGAACACTTACTTGTATATGAAACCTATACCTAGACCAAGAGGCTGTTTTACAGAGCAAGGGAACACTGTTGCTGTTGTTATGGGCCATCAAGTCACCTGCAACCCTGTGTACAGCAGCTCTGAATCCTGCCCTGTCCTGAACCAGTCTCACTGATTCCAACACACCTACCCCCATTACCCCAGGTACTGTATCAATCCTTTTCATCTGGGCTCTTTTTCTCCTGCACTGTCCCTCTACCCTTCTGAGCATCTTGTCCTTCTCCAAGGACCTGTCCTTCCTGGCCACCTGCCCAAAGTATGTGAGACAGAGCTTCAAAATCCTAGCCTTCAAGGAAAAACTTGGTTTCCCTTTCTTCAAGACAGATTTGTTTTCTTGGCCGTCCGTGGTATTTTCAAGACTTCTCCAGCTCTACAACTCGATGGTTTAAAATTGAGAAAGATATGCATCAGGGTTGTATCCTTTCTCCATATCTATTCAAGCTATATGAAGAGAAAAATTATTTGGAAGCTGGACTCTGTGAAGAATACGACATCAGGATAGGAGGAAGACTCATCAACAACCTAAGTTATGCAGATGACACAGCCTTGCTTGCTGAAAGTGAGGAGGACTTGAAGCACTTGTTGCAGAAGATTAAAGCATACAGTCTTCAATATGAATTACATCTCAATGTCAAGAAAACAGAAATTCTCACAACCGAGCTGATAGGCACCATCATGATAGATGGAGAAAAGATTGAAACTATCACCTACAATCAGGAGAAGATAAAGTAGATAAATGAATTAAATCCCTATGCACATCCAAAAACTTCTCCAACAGGGTAAAAAGGGAAGACACCGACTGGGAAAAAGTATTTCATAATGACAAATCAGATAAGGGACTTATATCCAGAATTTATAAAATACTTGAGCACACCAAGATAAAGGTAAATAATCCAGTTGAAAAATGGGCACAGGATATGAACAGACACTTCACCAAAGAAGACATTCAGATGGCCAACAAGCATATGAAGAAATGTTCAAAATCCCTAGCTCTAGGGGAGCTCTGGTGGCCTAGTGGCAAGGAGCTGCAACTACAATCCCAG